TCAAACAATTAATTGATGTTTTGCATTATTAGGGATCCTCAATTTGGTGTATTCATTGAAGATCGGTGATGTATTTTCCAATTTTTGCTTTTTTTCAACGTTTATTTTTTCACTTTTATGTGCGAATTTAATTTAAAAATCTATGTTGACATTTGTCGAGATAATTAAAGTAAGAGAAATTAGTAATTTGCTAGGAATCAATATGCTGCGTTCTTTGGATAAAAAAGTAAACATTACGAATTCTGCACACACAAGACATTCTGCCAACATAAGTAGCAAAACATAATCTTAATATATAATTTGTGATGCTATTCTAGCATATAGATTATTACTAAATTTGCAATTTTCAAAAATTCAGAGAGTTCAAAAAAATTATACCTACACCATTCATTTAAGCGGCCCTTGTTTTATCCATGGTGAATAATTTCAAGAAAAAATTGAAGCGATATTTTGGTATTATTAACACTTTGTCCTTTGAAACATACGAGGGGGAAATTTAAAGAAACTAATTAGAGTAGTTTATGAGAAACAATTGCATAAAAATTAAAAATTGCATGTATATTAGGCACAAATACCAAAAAACTTCTCATTTTTGCAATAAATTGTACTTGTCCTGCCTTTAAAAAACATACGTAATTGGGAAAAAACACGATCTTTAATACTGTAGTTACAACTATACTCCCTTCAAGCAGTGAAAAATATCGGCAAATCACATCTTGAATATCTGCCCATAAAAGAAGGCACCACTTCAGTATGCTCTATTAATAAATCAGTCGTCATTCACGGTATCTGTTTCACTAAAGTTTAAACCTCCTTGAAGAGACATACTTTCTCGCTCGCCCTCTCTCGCTCGCCTTCTCCCTCGCTTTCTCTCTCGCCTTCTCTCTCACTCACCCTTCTCTTGCTCTCCCTTTCGCCTATTCTATCGCTCATTCTCTCTCGCTCTATCGTTCTCTCTCCCACCCTGTCACTCGCCCTCTCTCTCTCCCTCCCTCACCCTGTCGCTCACCCTGTCACTCGTCCTGCTGCTCGCCCTCTCGTTCGCCCTCTCGTTCGCCCTCTCGTTCACCCTCTCGTTCTAACACCCTCTCGCACTTCACTCTCTCGCTTTCTCTTTCGCTCGCTCACTGTCTCGCTCGTTCTCTCTTTCGCTTGCTCGCTCATTTTGTCTCTCTCTTTCTTTTTCTCTCTTTCTCTCTCTCTCTCTCTCTCTCTCTCTCTCTCTCTCTCTCTCTCTCCCTTGCTCACGCACATAAACGCTCACTTTTGAAGACGCTGTAGTTCGCCCATCGCCATTGAGGTACCTGCAGCACAGATGCTCTCGCTTCCTGCCCAACTGGTTCACTGGCGCGTCCCTACTCTCCGCCTTGCTCCCTCGCGTGCTCGCTCGCGTGCGCGTAGCGTCTGAGCCGCGCTGCTCCGCGGGGGAGCCTCTTGCTCTCGGCCTTGCTGGGCCGTTGATCGTAAAGACCCCGCGGGCGGCGCTGTGTGTGCGGGTCGTCGCCAAGCGATTGGCTCCGCGTCGTCCGCCATGGAGCCGATGGAGCACGGTGGTTCATTGCCTGGGGCCAGATAAGGAAATGGCTTCGAATTTCTCGCTAGGGGAGCTATGCTGACGATGCAGTGGCATCACCGTCACGTATTCACGCGGTCTTGGAACCCCGAATCGAAGTTTGGGTATGATTTTTCTCTTGTGATAGAGATATTACTCAAAATACACCAGAAATCCTTGTCTTCAACAAAAGTTCGCCTTGGAATGAGAGGAACTTTAAGGCTTATTTGAGGTAACAGTGAGCTCGATAAAGGTTATAAAACATGTTTTACCTTATAACTAACAGCAGGCACCGGTAGAAATGACTTAATGGCAAGATCCTTGCATCTGTAATGGCGTTGACCGGAAGGTCCAAAGGATTGAGTCTCGAAGGGGGCGAATTTTTGACAATGGCAACAAGTTTTGTATCTTCAATTCAGCCGACGTTGCAGGAGAAACTTAGAGGCCGGCTGCTCTTTTTGAAAGTCTTCCGTGGTTTCTGTAGTCATTACGAGGCGCTGGCCGGAGCAGTGCACTGAAAACGGGCCACAGACCGCCAACAATATTTCCTTCCTCGTCTTCGGTTCCTCCTTTCCCCTTAAACTTTCATGGCTTTACACTACCACACAGGACGGTGGAGCTCAGAGCTTGCACAAATGGGGCGGTACCCAGCGAAGGGAGTTACCTCGGGAGGGGGGGGGACCCCGGCAGTCAATTTGTAGGTCGGAGTCAGATCTCACCATTCATCAGGGAAAGCCCACCATCACCGCTCGAGAAATAACAAGCATTACACTCACGGTACTAGCGACCTTAGCAGTTGACGCGCTAGGAATTAATACTCATTCACGACTGTCTCACACAATCCAACAAGCACTCACCTTCCCATACCCACACCTCACCGTCGTTTATCCTCGCCATCACCATTCCGCCATCCCTCCTGTGAAATCGAAAGTGAAATCGAAAGAAATCCGTGATGTGGCAGGAAACGGGAAGTCGAAAGTGAACGCTCAGTAATAAGTTTGGCACACATCATCAAATAAGCCGTGGTTGAGATTCGTTCTGATTATTTTACATCGTTCTTCAATGTTTCAGTACATATAATTTTAAGTCAGATTTAACAGCGCAATTTCCATCAAATATTTGGTGTCTTAATGTACACAAAATTGACGTATGTTATTAACGCTTGCGTATTATCTAAAATGTTAATGAAAATATTTTATCTATCACATAAAGTACTTTTTCGCGAACTACAATACTGCTTCGTAGTTGCCGTATCCCGCCGTTGCTTTTGAGGTGTGTTCTAAATTGTAGTTGTGACATTTGGTGAAGTTGTCGAATGGTTGTAAGTTTTTTACTTGGATAGGTTTGCAGTCGTTTTGACAGCAAATCATAATTGTCAGTAACCTAAACCTTCAATACTACTCTAACCAAACTTGACATGGCCAAAAAACTTTCAAATATCATGTCATTACGGCATTAAAGTATTGAAGTGTTGCAGAGTCTCCCCATTAGCGTTGCGATCAACTTTTACCGATATTATGCACAAATTGTAACCAAGCACAATTTTTTAAAACTTAATCATGTTACGTCTGTACCTGTCAATTGTATCACATATTAAAAAAGTCATCACCCCTGTGGCTTCACGTTGCTACTCACCTGAACCAATCAATGATGCGTCCAATCATAACCTACGTTTCTCTCATCTCGGCTTCGGCCAGCAAATCAAATATCCAAAAAACGCAAATTTTCCCAAATAAATTTTTCCAAATCATTACAGAAACACCCTGGTTTTTACCTAACTCCCAGTTGAAAAACAAACTCTGCGTTACTCCGATCATCGTCCATTTTCCCCTCTTAATCACTCGATTCTATCCTAAAATTCCCCAGATTCCCTTGGCTGTATATTTCAAAATCGGAAATCGAAATCCTCACCACAAGGGATTACAGCGGAAACGACCGCGACAGTTCTTCGACCCTCGCTGACCGTCGTGTATCTGATGTGGCTTCGCACATATAATCATCAAGCAATTACTTATTAATAGTAAGTAACGAAACGAGAGTATAAAGAGGGCTATAATTGCATGAATGGTATGTTGAGGAAAGCGAGTGTTGATAGCGAGTTTTCTCATATACCATGATTGCATTTATACCTCTTTATCCACGTGTTACGTTCAATATTTTTACGTTTCAAATAAAGAATAATTTTAATTTTATCATATTTTTACCATTAGAGGTAGGTATCTGATCAGGTCATATTGGTTTTGAACAAGACCTATTTTAGTAGACCTTGCAGTGTATATTTACAATCACCTTAGTGTCTTAGAGAATAATTGTGTTTGATAATTACATTTAAAAATAAAAAATATTGAAGTATTCCGGTTGAAATATTAGAAGAAGTTGACAAACCCATGAAAGCATTACTTCGTACGAAAAGTTAGGGAATGTATGAGAGAACAACATGTGTTAATGTTGGAAAGAAGAAAGACGATTCAGTACTGACTCAAAGGTTTTGCTGGTGTACTTTCCAGAGCAGGTAAATACAAATAACAATTACTTTTCTATATGTGTATTATGCTAAGACCAAATGTTTTACATGTAACGCATTTATTCATGTTAAATATTTTATTTTGTTGCATTAGTCAGCTAGGGTCAAACGAACATGCTTATGGACATACTTGTTTATATTGAAGTCGTAGTGTGTAAAGAAGAATATAGATATTTTAAATTATAAACAATTTACTTGATTTTCTAAACAAATTAAGGAGTTTTGCCAAAACAACTGCTCTCTCTTGGCCGTCACGTTCAAATAGGTGAAGTAAACATATCTGTGCAATATAAAGCAACTTCTGGGTTAGGATGAATGATGCAAAATATGAGTAAGGTAATAGTTTCTAATTTAACTTATTGTACTACAAATATTAACGTGTTTGTCTAAGAAGTAGAAATAATTATTCGTTTATAATTTTCTTTCATACGTTCATTGATGTATGTTTTTGATGTACGTAATGTGATGTACATTTTGATTCATGTTTCATGGTCGTCTCGAATCGTCAGTATTATAGATACATAATTAAACGATTTCTATCAGATCTCTGAGTTCTGATTGGCCGATACGTTGTGGACTTTTAATTGCACGCATGCCATAAATACAGTGATAATAAATGACTTTCATGGAATTAATGAGAATATTTACTTAACTAAACGAAAAATTTACTTAATGTGCCGATGCACTCAATTTATTCATTTAACATTCACGTATTCTAAGCAATTCGTCTGTATTATTCAATGTACTGTAAATGCATCATGCTCTGCTGCTAAGGGCTTTCGGGCCAAGCAGAAGTACATTTTCAAAAAAGGTTGATCGATCATTTTCTTGTTTAGGTCTAATCAGATGCAAATTTTACCGTGTAAATAGGCGTTTACAATTCAATAGGCTGATCATGAATGACATTATCTCTTGCTGTTGCAGATACGGCTTTGTGCGCGAGGTCAGGCTGAAGTACAAGGTGAGTCACGTCGAAACAAGCTCCATCAAAATCGGGTTGCGCCGGGACTAACAAGTTTGAGGCCAGGCTGATAGGGAAATTGTTAATGGAAATTTGCGCGCTGACTTAATGCATGTCGACGTATCTTTATCGATTAGCTGCCTACTAAAGGAGGAGCACAATATCTCAATTCGTCCACTAAATTGGCGTGCTCTCTGCGATATTACTCAGTGAGGTCTCAGTCCATTCACGATGAAGGATGGCACTGGCCCGTCAACGCTCAGACTTCCAATAATGTTAGTGAACAAGTGCCGACTGAATACAACCTGCTAGAGATTACTGGGCACATAGTAATGTGAGATACTCCGAGGTCTCTTGCGGCAAAAGTTCGGGCAAATAGAGAACTACTAAGAATTTAATTTCAGATATTTGAATTAAAAAAATAATGTGTCTTTGTAATCGCTTCTCAATGTTAAATTTTCTATCCAGTTGCGCCTGTGTCTCGTTTTTTTAACAGTGCGAGCATGTCATTTCGCCTTTACCGAGAAGTTATTTTTGCTGAATTATATATTTAAGTATTATTTAGTCGTAAGAGTCTTCGATACTTTTTATAGCAATATGAAAATACAAATGTAGGGTCATCTTTTAAATGTTTTTTCTAGGGGAATTATTTGTGTATTTTATGAGATAAAATCCCAGCATTAAATTCCTTCACTAACTAAATATATATTTTTTGATCGTGATTTATAAACCGATGATGAATATTTGCGGCAAGCACTTGACCACTTAGCGTTTGAAATGGAATTCGGCGATAGCATACCCCGAAACCACAGTTGCACATTACCGTGACAACCTGATGTGTATCATAGACAAATCAGTACCCGATAAAACCTTTGAAATAACTTTTTTCCGATATATTTATATCATAGCGTTAAGAGTTAGTGCCTTCGCACTGACTTAGAAGCGGCACGTAAGTATACGTAACTATCTTGGCTGCGCTAAAGATATCCATTCGTTAAATGTATTACGTTTGTATGCACGTTTTACTTCAGTGGAGTCACCGAACAGCATCTTGCCCTGCGCGGACAAACAAAAGCATGGCTTAGAAAATGTCTTTCCTCCGTATCATACCAAAAGTGCCACTGTCCATGGAATCGCCAAAGTTCACGTGAATTAAATGTTATCAGTTACCTGAAGTCACTTTCGTGATAAAAAATCGATTTTCTGCAAATATTTTTCTAAGAGGTATGCTGTGCATTATGTATATATGAAATCTATTACATTCTACATGTAATACGTACAGCCTTGAAACTTTGTAAATTAGTTTTTTTTCATATTTCTTCTTAATTATTTTTTTAATTACCAATAAGAACATTCTACTATCTGGGTGTTCATTCCCCTTGCACTGCCATCTCTGTAATTGTCCTGCCTTATCTATTGTATGTCTCTGCAGACGTGGCCGTCCGTGGATGTAAGTGCCCGAGTTGCCGTTGCGATCCTCGGGCTCCGAACCCGGCACTCTGCTTCCCAGATGTCTCAATTCCGATTGCCATGCTACTGGAAGGGTCTCGTGTAATATCTCTGAGAGCTCGAGTATATAGCGCTAGGCAATCACCCAACGAATGGCGTTGCTGTAGAAACATTAACACTGAGTCTTTTACATGCAATTGATTTCTATTTATTATAATAATATGTTTATTGTAATTAATTATAGTTTAATATAAAACATTTGTCATAAACCTGCGGATAAGATTTTTTGAAGTGATTCGGTAGTCCATATTTTCCGGTTTAGAACAAATTTTCACAGATTCAAGTAAAAACCATATTATAGTCTTTCAAAAGTATTCTTTGAAAATTATTTTTAACTCTTTTTGTAATTTACAGTGGTGAATCAAGTTACAGGGTGCAATCAGGTTACAAGTAAAAATGGATTTAACTCCGCAATTTATTGCAAGATTCAAAATAGGGTCCATTTCTGGTTCACTCCACTACAAATCTCTGGTGGCAGTTTAGCCTGTGCAGTCCGATCTTACGAGATAAAAAGAGAAGTTTCACATGTAATTATTCAAAACTACTTTGTTACCCCACTGGTTTGTAAATGGCCAATTATCCTAAGAAATTAAGGAACTTGCTTTCAGCGAGACAATGATGTTGAATATATTTTTGTACGTTCGTTCTACAGCCCATTCTAAAACCGAGTACTTCGACCGTCCTGTAACTTAGACGTTTACTTTATACATTTATTTTTACTATTTTAATTTATTTTGTTTATTTTTATTAAGATTTATAAGTATTTTTACATACAGTATGAATTACAAAACTGAAGGTGTTTTGTGAAGTTGTACTCGTAAAATCCGGAGCGCTCTGCGGTCTGCTAAAAGGCACGTGAAATTCATATTTTAGCGGCTGTTGATGTAAGAAAAGTTGTATATTAAGAAAAAAATAGTGAATGTTGATTTAGTTCTTCAAAACAGAACGTGGCCACCTGTGTCCCCTCGAAAGCACCATAAATTCAGAAAATGTTCAAAATATACTTAGAACAAGTTTTCAAATACTGAAAATTTTTTGACACAAATTTCAAAACAAAATATTATAACATATGGCTGAATAGATGTTTCATTAGTTTTTAAAATATTCAATTTGGCTTCAATTATATTGTATTCTATTCTGGGGCCCGGTGTTGACTCGATCTTCTTTAAAATCTTTTACCTTTCCAGGGGTGGCATTGATACACGGCAGTGAAATTCTTTTTTTAACTCAATATTATGTATTATCCAATAATTGTTTATATTTATAAAATAAATATGCAAATCCTCATTTCTGCGTGAAATTCTATTTCGTTTGACACCCCCTTTGTGAAGATTGGTTGCATGTGAGCTGCAGAACAAATAAACGGTAAAAACAGTAATATATCATCGCTGCACAAGAAAAGTGACGCACGTAACAAATTGTTCTTTTTCAGAAGAACGGGTTTAATCTGAGCGAAGCCGTTCATTTTGCGGGAAAACAAAGTATTTTTCTCTATAAATCGTCTGTCTTGCGGATTAGTTTCATGAAAGTTTTGCTAGTAAAAATACTAATATTGAAACTTGCTGGGATAGCTCAGAGGAACAGCTAATCTGGACCGGCTGATGTGGCTCGATTAATGCCACTGCAGCGATTCGGTCGGAGGCACTTGGTCCCGAGGGGGCAAGAATTTTCGACACTCGCTATCTATGTCGAATTCAGCCGCTGGCTGGAGGGAAATTATTGCAGTTGGCTGCTCTAGTCGGTAGTGCCCATGTTTTTTCCGTTCAATACCAGGCGAATGCCGGACCAAAATTCTAAGAAGCAAGCCACGAATGGAATCACGAATTCTCACTTTTGTCCTCGCCTGCCACCTTACCACCTTTTACACGTGGACGCACTACTCTTTCAGTCGGTAGCTTAGTCTGCCCCGCTGGCAGATACCTGTAACTCCGCAAGCCGAAGCCACATGTTCTAGCCATGGGGAACATTGCGACCTCCTGGGATATAACATTTACGGAACTAATGACAGGAGCAGTCAATCAATAAATCGGACCTTTTTTTGTTTAAGTCTTCATGGCAATCTCTAGCTTCTACATATCGAGCTGCAGTGTTTGCATTTGTATTTAGATTACGAGAAAAAAATTCGAAATGCGAGATTGTTTCTCGACTGTGACATTTCTGGGGTTGAAAATACGGACAACACTTGTCGTTACACTCCTAACACTCATCGTATGGACTTACATTATGTCGAGAAAACAAGCCGCATTTGAGCAGCGGTTGTATTTGGATGCCAGAGTGGTGGTATTAATTCCGAACGCGTCGCGTGCTACATCCATTACTGCTTAAAGTGAAGTGAAGGTTTTATTGCGGGAAGTGGCGTTATACTTACCCCGCTGGATGATCAGATACAACGCCGATATACGGGCATGCAGGGACTTTTCCCAACTAGGTATCACCCATCAGCATGGCACCGCCCTAGTCTGGCCAAGCCCTAAGCTCTTGGCTGGTCTTTATTTATTTATTTATTTATTTATTTATTTATCGCAGTGAGCTTGCGGGGCGGGGTGACTGAGTGTGTGTGTGTGGGTGCGCGTGCGCAGAGGCAGGCGGACGCGCTGTTGCGGCTGCTGGAGGAGGTGTACCGCTGGCTGCCGCTGGGCACCGTGGTGGACGGGCGCGCCCTGGCGGTGCACGGCGGCGTCTCCGAGACCACCGACCTCACCTGGCTCAAGACGCTCCCGCGCAGCAAGGTACTCGCACCCCTCCCCTCCTCTCCTTCGACTTTCTTATTAGTCTCACGTCTGGGCTTCGTGCCCTTCTCTTTTATTTCGCGTCCGCTTCTTCTTTTTTGTCTTCTTTTCCTTTTTCTGGTCTTCTTTTTCTGCTCCCCTTTCTCTTCTTTTTCGATTCTTTCCCCTTTTCTTCTCTTCGTTTTTCACATACTTCTGTGGTTTAAATGTCACTTTATTTCTCCTTTACCTTCATCAATCCATTTCTTTTGGAATTTATACCTTTCTAAAACTGCTCAAGCGCCAGACTCTCATTTGGAAGTTTCCTACTTTTCTTGGAAAACCCGTTTCATCATTTTTCTTTTCTGAAATTATTCTTAATTATTCAGAAAGCGAATTTAAATGAAATAATAAATTTTCATCAGCATTAACTTCCAAAATCGCTTTTACAAATGTAACTTTTTTATTTATTATTGCTCCTTTTTTTGCTTGTAGTTTTTTGAAATGAAATTTTACTAGTTCTGATGATCAGGCTATGCTGTCTAAAACTGCTCAAGTTCATAAAAATGTGCACACATTTGGACTTAATTGATCTTGTAAAATGGTGTTCAAAAAGGGGAAAATTGCGGATAGTTTTCGTTAGAGAGTTACTTTGAAAAATACATTTTTTTTATAAAAACTGGTTTCGGCGTAACATTTTTGTTCGCAACAGTGATATCCGTGTTCAGCGACTCCAAAAACATATTGGGAGCAAATTTCCAAACTACACCAGAACTTTATCTTGTATCCTGCCACTTGAGTGGAGTAACTGGCCACAAGCGCTCAGCCGCGAGCCATTGCAGTGACGCTTGCGCGCTCTGGCGGTGTTCGGCAGTACGTGTCGCTGCTGCGGCCGCCCGTCAGCACCACCGAGGGCCCCGGCGGGGAGCTCGTCGACAAGTTGGAGTGGAAGCAGGTACGCGCCACACAGCGGCTGCGCCAGGCCAATATGCTCATATTACACGCTCTTGGTCCTGCTCCTAGAGGAAACTGCTGTTTGTGTCTCGTGGATCAATAATGTTGCTGTGTTGCATTCTCATCCCCAGTTATAATAGCCGTACTACAGTAAGATGTAGACGTGTACAGTGAAATTAGTCTTAAAGTAGGAGAAACTACTGTACAGATTCCCGGGATTTATTGAGAAACAATATCAACATTTTTAAAATTCACTCCAATTTTTTCTCGTTCGTATTCATTGCGATAGTGAAAAATGTATACAGTAGATGGCATCTGAAGACGAATTGTACAGCTACTCTGCATGAAATCTGACCATAAGAGAATGCAAGTTAATTTGGGGGTGAAGGAACAGACCTTTCCTCCAAGTTGCTAATTTGTGAATGATGAAATGAAAGAAAGAGCCATTACAGAATGAATCTGTAGGTGCAACAATAGTGAAAGTATGAATTATTATATAAATGGCTGACTGAATGAAGAAATAAATAAACAATTGATTGAACATCAGAATAAATGAATGAACGTCTGAATGTGTGATTGGAGAAATGAATGTGGGAATGAACGAACAAAGGACGAAATGAAGAGATGAACGAAAGAATGCATTAACTCATCAATTAAATAATGAATTAATAAATGGGGATGAATGAAAGAATCGAGAACGACTGAGTCAATTGCAAGACGCTTGTGAGGTTTCCCGTGACGCCGTCTAAGCTCCCCTGTTGGCCATGTGGGTGGGCGCAGGTGTTCGACGTGCTGTGGAGCGACCCGCAGCCGGGCGCGGGGTGCGTGCCCAACAAGCTGCGCGGCGCGGGCGTGTGCTTCGGGCCCGACGTGTCGGAGGCGTTCCTGCGCCGCCACGGGCTGCAGCTGCTGCTGCGCTCGCACGAGTGCAAGCCCCTCGGCTTCGAGCTGGCGCACGGCGGGAAGGTATCGCTCGCACACACGCACTCACGCAAGCGCACGCGCCAACACTCGCACTCAAACATTCGCACTCAAACATTAGCACTCGAACATTCACACTCGAACATTCACACTCGAACATTCACACTCGAACATTAGCACTCGAACATTAGCACTCGAACATTCGCACTCAAACATTCACACTCGAACATTCGCACTCGAACATTCGCACTCGAACATTCGCACTCGAACATTCGCACTCGAACATTTGCACTCGAACATTAGCACTCAACTTTCGCACATGACACACACGAACATGCACTTAAACAAACGCGTTCATATACGAACACGCGCACACACGAGCTCCTACTCATGTACCCGAACAATTACACTCACGAACTCACACTCACGAAAACGTACGCGCGAACACCCGCAAAGAAACACGCACACTCGAACACAACCAGGCGAAGACGCACACTCGAACACATCCAGGCGAAGACGCACACTCGAACACATCCAAGCCAAGACGCACACTCGAACTCATCAGACGAAGACGCACACTCGAACATTTCCAGGCGAAGACGCACACACGAAAGCAAAGACGCGTACTGGCTCAAAAATAGTCGAATACGCACACCAAACACGCATGAATGTGCTTTCACAAACACACATGGAGATGAGTGTACTGATACATGTCCACACGAACACGCATACATACACACATGTTCAATAAGTTAGTATTTTTGTGCAATTTGTAGTTGTATTGTTTGAGAAATTGACGGAATTGCTGATGTGTTAGTAGTATAGAGAGCGCATTCTTGTAAGCGATAACAAGAGTTCTGAGGCGCTTGTGTTTGTGTTGCGGGGCAGGTGATGACGGTGTTCTCCGCGTCCGACTACTACGAGCTGGGCTCGAACAAGGGCGCGTACGCGACGCTGGCGCCGGGCGAGGCGGCGCCGCACTTCGTGCAGTTCCAGGCGGGCGCCGCGCGCGCGCGCCACCTCACCTTCCGGCAGCGCGTGGACCTGGTGGAGGCGGCGGCGCTGCGCGAGCTGCGCGCGCAGGTGGCGGCGCGGCGCGCGGCGCTCGAGGACGCCTTCCGCAAGCGCGACCCCGACGGCGCAGGTGCTCTCACTCTTCACTCTGCACTCTGCACTTCTCCCTCCCAGGCCCTCCACTCTCACGCGCTTCACCCTTACGCGCTTCATCATTCCGCGCTTCAACCTCACGCGCATCAACCTCACGCACCCTTCACACTCACGCGCTTCACCCCCCCCTCTTCACCCTCCCACCCTTCACCCCCACACGCTTCACCCTCACGTGCCTAGCCCTCACACCCTTCACCCTCACGCGCTTCACCCACCCGTGCCCTTGTTTTCCATCGTAAATTGTTCGTCTGCCATCGTAGAAGGAGTATTCCGTTAACTTGTTTATAGATGATCGCTTACTAGTGATTTCGAGCGTGTCAGCAGCTAAGGTTATTAGTCCCGTAAGAGTACTGCGCATTTCTTCCCTCTGGAGGTGACAATTATCTTCCCTTGCGGAATGGCGAGTGGGTTTTCCCCACACCAGGTATCTCCTTCCGGGGGGAACCGACCCAACTGGGACAAGCTCTAAGCTCCCGACCATGTGGTAGAGCAAGTGTGCATAAGGGGTGTGCATAGGACAAGGAATGGGAAGGAAAGATCGCGCAGGATCCGTGACCCGTTTGTTAAGGAACTGCTCCGGCATTCGCCTGGTGTTGATCGGAGAAACCACGGACAACTACAGTTCTTAGCAGCCGGCCTCTAGTATTCCCTTCCAGAGAGCGTAAGAACCTCCGCCTAGCTATCTGGCTATTATCGAAAATCTTACATTGTCTGGTCTAGTACCTAGGACCTCCAGTCAGAGGCACTGCAGGCATCAGTTAATGCCCTGAGCCACTTCTCCCGGCTTAACATGTTCAGTATTTGAATCGTTCGTTCGTGATAATGCCAGTGACAACGATCGCGATTGAATTCTTCGTGCCCGGCTCCACTGTTCAGAATCCGCTGAAACACTGCACTTAATTGACCGGGGCAGCATTAGTTGCTCATTAATTTGATGAATTGAAATTCAATATTTGCAAACTCTGTGAAAATGTATTTAAGAGTTTCTGTTTATTTGCAGTTTTGTTGATTTATCCAAACAACTCTCCGCAGAGGGGTGTTAATATTGTGTACACAACAATGAAATTCTCCGCTACATTGATTTATGTTCCATTAGGGAGAGATCCACAAAATTAAATAATAAGAGCAACGCTTAAGGTGTAAAATTTTTGGTTTTAATTAGTGGTGTTAAAAGATCACATTCGTTCTCGTACTATTTGTAACGGCTACGCAATATAATAATTCGACTTAAATTAACGAAAAGGTTGCAACTCACAAAAACGTTTGACGTTTTACTTCAACTTCGGCGTACAGGCGGGTCCGCGTCGTTTCCGTAACAACACCACGTTAATGCTTCCGGCGAATCAAAAAAGAATTAAAGGATATAACGTAACTAAGTATTATATCCTTTAACATACTTATTTTCCCCACACCCCCTAGAGGTGTGAGGGTGGGAAGTCTCTTTTGGTATCATTGCTTGGGCGCCGTCAATACGAACAACTTTCTGTATCCACTTTCCTTGATCCGATGCCCACCTTTCGAGAAATTACCAAAACGAGTTTTAACCCTTCAGTGGTCTCGTGAATCACTATTGAAGTCCAGTCTGATTGATTCCCTGTTTACAGAGAGAGTAGGCACACTTTCGCCATGGACTTTTCAGTACGTTTCGTAGAGGGCCCCAGTTATTGAAAGCGAAATACAACTCGAGTGATAAGCACCGGAAACAGCTTGGATTAGAATAGCAGTCCGCGCGACCACTCGCAGTTCAGATTGTGACCTACGCGGACATCGTGAATATCGCCGCTAGCGACGCTCTGAATGTTTATGCAAAGAACAACAGTGGAGAAATGTTGAATAGGAGGGGATTTCTAAAGGATCTCGCTTTGCTCATTATGAAACCACAAATGAAAAAGACGATCGAGAGAAAATCTGAGCCAAGAGCAATAAGAACTCGCGGAGACGTCTTCGGGGAATCAGAGAAGGGACCGAGGGATCCGCGGAGTCACAAAAGGCAACGTGTGACGATCTCTCTGTGCACGTCAACGAAACAAGAGCACTCGTACGTACTGCGTAAATTATGTCCAATAGGTGTACATTATTAAGAAAATCTGTGAGGTGTTCATCTAATGTTGACATTCACACACATACGAAATAGAGGCTCCAAACGTTTAAACAATTTGGTCAAATTGCTTTATTTAATAGTCGTTATGCAAAGCACAGCAGGTGCGCAAAACATACAAAGCACAGGACTTTTCAAAAACAAACATCTACTCGTATGAATTTGAATATATTTGTTTAAAGGCATAACACATGCATTTTTCCTGTAGCATTTCACAGCAATTGTAATCAACGTTCACCGTTCTAATAAATTTAATAGTATTTTGTAACTAGTCTTTAGATACTATTACTCGTCTATATTTCAAACTAAAAACGCTTTGTTCGAAAAATGTGGTTAATAATAAGTGTTTGAAAATTGATTACAATCGTAATCCACTCGATGCAATTTTGTGCGCGTCCACTGAAGGATTAAATGGAGGAGCCGGTGTATTGGTGTAGGTGCAGGTTTCCTCCCGTGTAAAGTCGTGTTGCTCCCCTCCCCCCGAGGCGAGCGCGGCCAGAGGCTAAGAGGAAATGTGCGCTGCGCTGCGTGGGAGGCGCGGGGGGAAGTTGACTGTTTGTTCGCTCTGCCGCCGCCGGACTGGCAAACTTGGGCGCCCAAACTTCTCTCGCCCGCAGAACGTGTCCAGCGGCGGCGGCGGGACCGGGGCCAGCGTGGGCGGGGGCGGGGGCGGTCGCGCCGTGGGTGGTGCAAGAGGAACAAGGGGCGAGGGCGAAGGAGCTCCGTTTTCTAAAGACAGGAAATGGAAAGTCCTTTCGTGTATTATTCTTCTAAATCACAGACTCCCAATCAGGGATTCGGATGCACCCCCTGGGGTCGATAAATTTTTGAATGCCATTGGTGTTCATGGGGTCGGCGGGGTTGAATAGTCGAATATGAAGTTTTTTGGGCGTCTTCCTACAACTACAATTATGAAGATAAACATATTTTTTGTAATGAAATGTATTTATCGAAAACATCTTCAAATTACAAATATTTTACTACAATCTACCCATGGCAGAAAGTGATGGGAAGGAGATTGAGCATCATATCCGACTTCAGCGAATAAGTAATTGAAATTTAAAAAATGTTGCATACTGTATTTGAGTTACACGTTCATCGTGTTATTTTTGGTTGTCACCGTTGAAAATTGTCACTTTATTCCACTTTCAAAATGTTTCTCAACACTTCTTGCTGCCCATGTAACATGGCGGCCAGCATCTGGTCTGGCTTTTGAAATGAAGTGCCCATGTTGTGGTGACGTGCATGATGGAAATAATCCACCATGGTCACGTAGTTCGTGACGCAAATTGGTGCTGCGCAGATCGAAACAAATTCGGTCGCTCACCTCTCTCTTTCCACCATGATAACATCTGTTTCATCACATTTTAAAATCGATATTTTAAATATCGATGTGTTTGTCCATGTTTTCATCGACAACGAAAAGGCTGGCTCAGAGCACAGACTGATGTCACTGTAGTGTTTCTGCCCGGGAAGTCCTGGAGTTGGAATCCCGATGATAGCAGAATTTTCGACACTAGCTAGATAGCTACGTGGAATTCAGTCGCTGTCTGAAGGAGAATAGTAGCTGCGTGCTGCTCTAATCGGTAGTTGTCTGTGGTTTCTCGGATCCACACGAGGCGAATGCTGGAGCAGTACTCCAACAAATGGGCCACGGACCGCGCGATCTTCCCCCCTCCCCCATTCCTTCTCTTCTTTCACACACACTCACTCACGTTCACTACGCTACCACACGTGTCGGGAGTCCGGTCGGGAGCTTAGAGCATGTCCCGTCTAGGGCGGTGCCCCTCTGGGAGAGATACTTGGTGGGGGAAACACCGCTAGCCGACAATAGGTCGGCGCCGGATTTCGCCATCTAGTCGGACAGGATCACCGCCACCTCCCGAGCGTCCAACATGCCCTACGCTACGCTTACTTAATATAAAGCTTAGCGGCTGTCGCGGCCGGCTCGCTAGTAACGCGCGTTGGTGGGCGGCAACATGCCCTACGCTACGCTTACTTAATATAAAGCTTAG